ACAAAGATAGAATAGATGATAGAGTATTTTCCTTAACTTGCCAAATGTAAATAGACTAAATATTGTAACTATAATTCTTGCTTGATAATTGTTTTGTTATATGTAATCTTGCTATATCAAAGTTAAAACCTTCCTTTTTATTTAGACAGAAAATGGGAGGTGATGTGTGATTCCCCTCTGTATGCTGTGAATATGTTTTATTCCCATTGGTTAATAAAGAAACTGCTTTGGGCCTATGGCAGCACAGAATGGAACAAGGTAGGAATTCTAAGCAGAGATAGAGGAGAAAAGGCAGAGTCAGGGAGATGCCATGTAGCCACTGAAGGAGACAGATGCTGAATGGAACCTTACTGGTATGCCACGGACATGTGGCGATACACAGATTAATAAAAATGGGTTAATTTAAGATGTAAAAGTTACTTAATAAGAAGCCTAAGCTATTGGATATGCAGTATTATATAAGTAATACAATTTCTATATAATTATTACGGGTCTAGGTAGTGGGGAAATGACCAAGCGACCTCTGACTAAACCGGGATATAATGAAGTTTGCAAGCTATACAGCATATACAAGATTAATGTCTAAGTTTGATTGTCCTGTTAAGCATTCATGATTCCTTGACTACTAAGGGATCAAACAAAGAACACAAATCAGCCTGAATGCTTCACTGCCTGAGGGAATTCAACAGTATGTTGGGAACTGGGAGGTATATTGTGACCCAGGGACCATGGACTTTAACCTGAAAATCCTATGACACAGGTCTCTCGAGGCAGTTAGGTCAGGCCAACTCCGTGGTTCCCTACAGAGCCTATTGCCCACTAAAATCCTATGACCTTGGCCTCCACTGTCTGCCATTACTCTCAACATTCCCATCTTCTAGGCCCTACAAGAACAGCTCTTTGTCCAGTTTTCTGATATCTTCAGCTTTCTTATAAGAGTCAATATTCCAAGTTCCTTTGCAGCAACAAAATCCCCTTTGAGTCCCATTTTTTTCCAACTTTCTTCCCTGTTGCTGTTATTAAAGTATGCAATCCAAAGCAACTCAGATAATGAACGTATTTATTTGGTTGTTAAACCTACTTTACAATTCCTCCTTATGAGAGCTTAGAATAGAAACTCAAGTTAATAACTAAAGGCAAAATATGTGGAACCATTGTTTTCTGGCTTTCCCTCTTGTTTTGTCACTGTCTTGTGCTCAGCTAGCTCTCCTATCCATCCTAAGACTGCTTCCTCAGAGATATTGCCCACTCAGTGGAAGAGCCTTCCTATATCAATCAAAAATCAACACAATCTCTCTCAGACACCTTAATCAGACATTCTGATCTAGGCACACCCTCAATTGGTACTGTCTCAGATCACTCTAAGCTATGCCATGCTGAGAGCTGAGGCTAATTAGAAGAAAGAGACAATAATATACAAGGTTTTAAAGACCCAAAGGCAATGTACTAATCATATCAATCACTTAAGCAGCAAAAACACAAACATGAAGATAGATATGCCAGGAAATGGAAAGAGGCAAACATCTAAGATAAACAAGAGAAAACTAAAACTGTCTCTCCACAGAATCTTCCCAAACCAACAAAAACTCAAGGAACTCATAACATGAGAAATCTGAATACAAAATTGGTGAGACCATTATTTTCCAGAAAATAAACAATATACTTAGATAACAATGAATAAAATCAACAACATAGGTGGTGGGTAGCACTGAAAACAAAGACACAAAGATATATTATGCTCCTTTAAATAAAAAAACTACAAGATTCTAACAAAATCAAACTCTAAGAAATCACTGACCAGCACTGATTTCAGTTCTCTCTCCTTTACCAATAACAGAAAATGGTTTGGGTGAGGAGGGCTGTTGCACCAAAATTGGAGAGATTCACTTAAAACCTTCTCACGCCTTAATTTCATAGAAAATAATTTTGAATACTAAAAAAAAAAATCTCATTATCTTATAGTAAAGAAAAGGATGTCTGTTAGGATCACTTAGACACCATTTTGCTCCGCCTGATTGATGATTGCCTGTAAGTCTGCAATCTGAGTGAGGAAATAAAAACATTTTAAAACAAAATGCAAGATAACAGATTTTTAAAGAATCAGTGGACACCTAAAGCAACCTGTTTTACTCTAATTGCTTTATAAGTCACAAGCACTTTTGAAAACAAATTTGTTACTATTTTTTGGCATATGTTTGTGCATGAGTGAGAATGTCTTCTATATGTATACAAGTAACTTGCTGGAATCGCTGTTCGGGGTACTCTACCTCTTTGGAAACTAGAGATACCTGGTGGCGCTATCATTAATAAAGCCTATTGCTTCTTGCATCTGCTGGACTGGTTAATTGAGTCGTGGGGCTTCTCCCTCTTGGGCCTGCACCCAAATGGGTGAGGGTCTTTCACTCACATCATTTTTCTCGGAGTATACATCTTAAACCTGGAAAATACAGTCATGATAGACAGGGCTACACCATTTTATCCAGCTCCACTTTACTTGAATTACTGTAACTACAGTAATTAGGTTTAATGGTAAGTTCAATTCTTTATATAGATTCTTGTATGCATGGTCTGCGGGTCCACCAAATGGCCAGTCAGCACATTTGTGGAACATCTAAAGTTGATTGCCTCACTACTCATTGCTAATGTCAACTACCATCACAACAGGAAAGCTTCTACCCTCCTTCTTGCCCATCCTTTTTCTGTTGTGAATACACTGGCTTTACAGTTGGTCAATGAACTCAATTCTTACACAGGTCCCAGTTCACTTGTAAATTCACAATAAAGTCTACAGAAGTTGGAGGATATTCATTCACTGATCTCTTTCTCCTTCACACAGGCCAATCGAGGTCCAGCTTGGAAGGAGTTGCTGGACTGTCTTTCCAGCACTGGGTAGCAGAGGCAGGATTAGGTGTTCAAAGCAATTCTCAGTTACATAGTATGACGTAAGCCTGAGCTATAGGAGACACTAATATAAACCAATTGTTCTCAATCTTCCTAATGCTGTGGCCCTTTAATATAGTTCCTGATGATGTGGTGACCCCCCCACCTATAAAATTATAAAAAGTTCACTCCTACTTCATAACTATATTTTTGCTACTGTTATGAATTATAATATAAATATCTGTAATTTCTGATGGGCTTAGACTAGTCCTGTGATAGGGTCATTTGATCCCCCAAAGGGAGCTGTGACCCTCAAGGTTGAAAAACCCTGCTCTAAACTGATATAAATATATAAATAAATAAACAGCACTTAAGAAAAAATAGAATGAAATTATTTAACTTGGAAACATTGAATAAATAAAGCAGCAATGCATTTAAATAAAATGAATGTTAAAAATAATACCAATAATTGATGTTTTAAAATGATAAAAATAGTAGGAAGAACCCTTATCCATAGTGACTATGATATAGAGTAGGCCCTTCCCTGATAGAGAGAATGCCATTAATAAGAGACTATATTGGCAGACTAGGTGCAGTATGCCCACAGGAGGTCAGTTGTGAAAGAGTGGGCACAGACCGGCAATGGAAGAGGTTGCTCAGCTTCCACGTAAAATGTTAGCCACTGAGTGCTGTAATCTAACACAGGGAGTTACATTCAACTCCTGTTTCTCAAACATCTCAGCTGACTTAACCGTGTCAACCAAGAGTGTACATATCTGCACAGCTTTGCTAACTGGAGTTCAAGCGACCCTCCCTAAATTGTACACCCACCAATTCTGACTGTCTTCATTCACATGGAAGGAATTAATACCTGCAGGGAAATTACAGAGAAAGTCACTCACCATGCCCCCTCAGTCCTTTGTAATGGAGAGCCCTGCAGCTCACTGCCTTCAGCTCCAGTCCGTGACCTAGCTATTATCTAATCTGTTTTCTCCCGGCAGTGTTCCTCCTCTTCTGGTCTGAATGGAGGAGCCAGTACTCCACACGCAAATCCTTTCCCTGTTCTGCAATGGACAGTCCACTATGTGGCTCAAACTGGGAATTTTAGAACGCTGTGGTGCTGCAGACATGCAATCCAAGGTTTAGTGTTTAGTCAAGAGGACAACAAGGGCTTTGTGGGGCTACGGACAGGGTTCAAATACACTTCAATCAGAGTCGGAGACCTTGACTCCAAATCACTTTTCAAAAAGACTAGAAATGCCAATGTTCTAGAATTACTATACTTTTATGGCACACCAGGACTTAATGGGGTTGTGACCCTGGAATGGTCGCTTGAGCAGCATTAAGAGGGTGGTTTTTAAATAGAGGGGTGGGTACTTCTGCTGGTTGTAAAACAGGGTTGTCTCCTTGGCTTTGGGAATGTAGCTGGTTGATCCTGGAGAACAAACATTTACATCTTATTCTAATCTCTAACACATGCGGTTAGCATACCACTCTGCTTTGGAATATTTGGGCTGCAGCTCACCCTTACCTGCTTTCTACTTTGTGACTTAGTGTTTCCTAAGAACTGGTAAGTCCTTATGCCGTCAATTCTACTCTTCTACATCACAGTAGCAGCGGAGTGCTACTCTATACAGGAGATACTATTTACAAGCTCCACAGAATTAACTCTTAGATGGATCCTAAACCTAAATGTTAAATGTTAAAAGTGCAGAACTTCTGGAAGACAATAGAGGCACCACGGCTCTCCAACCTTGGCAAATCTGTGTTACAGAGCCAATACAAGCACTAAGGGCGCCGGCATTTCAAGGTGATATCAACAAGGATATTTCAAAGCACAGTCCCTCTCCCAAGGCTCTGCACAGACGCAGTCAGGAGAGTGAAGTTGCTCAGAGACTGCCAGTCGGCCCAGGAAATACAAAGAACATGCAGGACCACTCAGACCACGCCGGAGTATTAAGGACCAACAGAAGCACGCTGGATGATGCAGACCCAGGCAGGAATATGCTGAACTCTGCATACGATCACTGGCTACCACACAGCCAGAGGAGGATGAACCACACTGGCTCCCGTGGCTCAACTAGCAGCTCCTCCCAGTCTGGGGATAGCCCCAAGCTCACCGTGTCGTGGCTTTCCAGCTTTCCCATGCCGTCTGCTCAGCTGCCTGCAGCAACACTCTTAGCACAGCACACAAAACCACCGGTGCCAGCTTCTCTTCAAAGCTTGGAATTGGGGCCGGAAGGACCAGGCACAATTTCTGACTGACAGGTCAACTAGAGAATCTGATTGGCTAGTGAGGTCTGAATGACAAGAGCACCTCCCATAGGATTATACTGTGCTTAAAGACACAGTACAATGTTTCCAGGCCCTGCCTTTCATCTGAAAACCCTTTTCTGAATCAGCAGAGATGCGTTTCCGTAGCATTTGCCCCTGGCTCCAATAGTAGACCCTGCTATCTCCAGAGGCACTTCCCCTTCTCCTTGACACAAGGTGACTCACTAGTTTGCCACTTGTAGCCAGTTTGACTTCCAAGATTAGCCATCACAACACTCAAGACAGAAGAGGGGAGAAACATCCTTAGCTGCAGGAAACAGGAAAAGCATGGGAGTTATTTCCAAAACAAAGCTTTTCCTGAACAAAGGAAGCGTGTGGATTTTACTTAGGGAGTCTGTACACATGAAAGACCCCCACTCACTAAGCAGCAGTAATGCCATTTTGCAAGGCTTAAACTTTGGAGCAACGCAAGTAATTAGAGCAGGGAAGTTCGACTTGAAAACAAGGGCAGGCAAGATATCTGCGGTCAGCCGGTCAGCCACCTGGCCCCAAGCGATAAGGAACCCGCAGCTGGCCTGCTCTAATGAGAACCTCCCGTTTGCATAGTCAGCACATGTGCCCAACTTAGAATGTCAGTAATTCACAGAAGAAGACAACTCCCCCTATGAAAGATCCCAGCTTATCTGCTGTAACGTCATTTCACAAAGCTTTTGACGAACGACTGTAAGTGCAGAGTAAGGTCAGGGTCCCTGGCTGCAAGACAGGATCTTTATATCCATAGATTAGGACAGGACATCAATTAACAGGATATCTGTTCCCATACATCTGTGCTGGGAGAGGAAAAACCACCTGTGCCCCTTGCCCCATTCCAACTGACCACTAACGATGCATTTGCTTCTGTAATCTGCTTCTGCTGCCCTCTTTCCTATAAAAGACCTTCCCCCAGTCTGCAGGGGCGCGCTTGTCTTCCGAGAGACTAAGCCGCCCCAGGTACCTGTGTATTAAATAAAGCCTCTTGCTATTTGCATCCGAAGAGTGACTCGCTGTTCCTTGGGAGGGTCTCCTCAGCCTGAAAGACTGCCTACCACGGGGGTCTTTCACACATACAAGTAGATTTCAGCCTATCCCTAAGCAGACTCGGCTAACAAACCCATTTCTGAACATAATCACAATGTAAAAGCGAAGACATTTCGGGGCATTCTTGCTTCAAAGTCATACAGAAACATATAAATTATAAAAACGATGGAAAGAGGGGCTGGAGAGATGGCTCAGAGGTTAAGAGCATTGCCTGCTCTTCCAAAGGTCCTGAGTCCAATTCCCAGCAACCACATGGTGGCTCACAACCATCTGTAATGGGGTCTGGTGCCTCTTCTGGCCTGCACACACACACATACACACAGACAGAATATTGTATGCATAATAAATAAATAAATATTTTTAAAAAAAACGATGGAAAGAAACGCCTCTGGCATATTCATCTTGTACCACAAGTGTTAATCTGTACTGGCCTGCCCTTGAGTTCCTGACAGATGTGTCCTCAGCTGCAGCCACTCCTGCACACTTCCCGTACTGTCCCTTTTAAACAGTGAGCCTTGCCCACCTCCCGCTCCCTCTTTCTCCCCTTCCATCTGAAAGACCCTAGAATTTCTAAGGCCACGAGGGAAGTCCCCAGACTCAATAATCCAGGCCAGCAGATGCAAGAGCAAGAGGTTTTATTTCGATAGCGCCATCAGGTGTCTTCAGACTGGGGGGAGGGGGGGAACACGACTGAGCACACCAAGCAAAATTCCAGCAAGCTTATATAGGCAAAGTTAATTACGTACTCTGCAGTTTTCAGAGCATAAATATCACAGGTTATTTTAAACAGATCAGGCAGTGACAATGGACAAAGTTGTTTGTTCATTCCATTTCCCAGATTCTGGCCCTGACCTTCCCCATCTGGTCTTTTGTTCGATTACTCAAGGGGACAGACTATTCCTTTTGTGAACTGCTGTCATTCTAAGTTTGGCACAAGTGCCAATCACAGGTATCCTGTTCTCCTAAGCAAACAGGATGTTCTCATGAGAACAAGCTAGCTCCAGGTTCTGGGGAGGGGGTCTTGTAGGTCTTTCAAGCAAACAAGGTGTTCTCACGGGAGCAGGCCAGCTGCGGGTTCTGAGGGGGGGTCCTTAAGGGTCTCTCACATCCATCCCTCCCTTCCTCTTTTCCTCTCTCTCTCTCTCCCTCTCTCTCTCTCTCTCTCTCTCTCTCTCTCTCTCTCTCTCTGCCTCTGCCTCCCACCCCCACCCCAACTCTCTCTTCTGTCTCCAGAGGCTGGTCTCCCCACCCCACCCCTTTTTTCCACATTCCTTTTCCCCTAATAAAAGCCCCTCCACGTGAGCTCTTCTTTTGAGCCACTTGTTAAAATTACAACAAGTTCTTAGCTGAAAATCAGGAAATGACACTGTGAAATTAGATTTCTCAGGAGCCTGTGTGACCTGTCAATCTTGATGTTTGATCTAAAAGATAACTGTACAGATGCCCCAGTTCTCACCAATACAAAAGATAGAGAACATAAATACAGAAAACTTCAAGGAAAGGGCACTTAACAGCCCTGTGCACTCTGCTTTTAGATGAATGATTATGGTGAGCTCTGTTAACCTCAGAACAAAGCTGTTTTTACTTCTGAGCTGGCTGGCTCAGCAGAAGACCACAGATGCTTCCATGCAAGATCAGAAGGAGTTCATTTTAACTGCCCCTGGCTTCTGTCTGTCTCAGGGTTGTGACATCACTGTAGAGAATTCCATCCTTTCCTTTTTTTAAACTTTTTTCTTTAAATGTAGTTATATGGGTGTTTTGCTTGTATGTGCCTGTGAACAGTACTTACAGAGGCCAGGAGATGGAAGGAGATGCCTGGGACTGGAGTTACAGCAAATAGTTAGTTATCATGGAGGTTCTGGGAATTAAACCCGGGGCTCTGTAACAACACCCAGTGCTCTTAATTGCTGAGCCATCTCTCTACTCCCTCTTCTTATTTAACATTTAATGTCATAAATTGATCACATGATATTACATCACTTTCTGTTTGGGTAGAAAGTTCGCATCTCAAACACACTCTCCTGGGAGTTACTTCAGTACAGCCTCAACACCCAAGAAAGCCTACCAAATGATGACCCTGAAAGACCCCCCGTCCAGCTTGCTAAGCAGCTTAGCACCAGATGAAAGCCCCCCCCCCCCCCCCCCGCCCAGCTTGTTAAACAACTTAGCCCCGGTAATGCCATTTTACAAGGCTTATACTGAATATTCAGGATTTGAACAAAGGGCAGTTTAGAAGCTGCCAAAACGAGATAGAGACACCTGTGGCTGGGCCCGGGGGAGGAACGAGGAATACCAAGAATGTGGCTGGATGTCGTCTGCCCCAGGCGGGGAGAAGACATTCTGTCTGCCCTAGATAAGAGCCAAGGCAGCCCATATCTGAATTCTCAGGGACTAGGGACCTTGTCCTGACCTGAACTCGGCCACATTCAAACTAACCAATAAAAACCCTGTAACTACGCTTCTCGCTTCTGTACCACGCTTTTTGCTCCCCAAAACATATATAAACCTGTAGTAATAAGGGCAGCGGGGCTGCGTCCCCAGCACCCCAGCCGCCTGCTCGGCTAGTTTATGCCCGAAATAACAACACACAAACTGTATTCATTTAATCACTGCTTGGCCCATTCTCTTCTAGGCTAATTCTCACATATTAATTTAGCCCATTTCTAATCATCTGTGTGTAGCACATCAAGGTGTGCTTACCGGGGAGATTCTAGCCTAGTCCATCCTGGGTCGGAGCTTCATGGCGTGTGTCTGCCCGGGAGCGGGGCATGGCATCTCTGCTGAGGCATCTTCTCAGGAGAGCAGAGCTGTGGAGTCTGACCTCACTTCCTCTTCCTCCCAGCGTTCTGTTCTGCCTACTCCTCCCACCTATCTTTCAACCAATAAAATGGGCCAAGGCAGTTCCTTTATTAGCCAATGACCTTCCTCCCTCATTTCCCCTTTTTCGGTTTAAACAAAAAGAAAGGCTTTAACATAGCAAAATTACATATAACAAAACAGTTATCAAGTAAAAGTTACAATAATCTTTATCATAACTAAGGAAAACTATAACTAACTATTCTTAACTCCATCAAAGACTCCAGAAAGATACAATACTACCTAAGCAAACAAGAAAAAAGCAACTTTTAAAACTCTAGAAATGACAGAGACATCTCGCTGCCTGGACAGTCACCCAAAGTTCCTCTGTACCGTTGGGGCATCCATCTTCAGCCTTCAGGCCCATGGTATCCAGCAGACATTTCCATAAAGCAGGAAAATTCAAAGTCAGTTCAGTCACTATCTGTTGTGTCCTGCAGAATGTCTTGCAAACTCTTTCATGAATCAGGAACCCCGAAAGATCATCTCACCTTAGGCAAGTTCAGTAGTCCTCTCTCTGCGGGTTCTCTGTGTCCAGTTTATGCAATAGTCCAGGCAAGAGCAGTTTCTTGCCCAAATGGCTATCAAACTCCATAAGGTGCCTCTTCGATGCCCATCTTCCTCTTGAAGTAGATTGGTGCTGCCAGGAGCAGAGTGTCTCATTGTCATGAAAAGTCCTCAGTTATTAAAACATTAAATGTCCTATTCTGTAATATTTGAAAGACATGAAGAATATCTATCTAAAATATATCTCTATATATCTAGAAAATCTAACTAACATGACTACAAGCTTTACTATTATCGATGATTATCCATTAACAACCTATATTTCTTAATTATACAGTACATATTTAAATAAACTACACAATCACGATACCTTAATCAAAATCAGAAACACTTATATATATAACAAAATTGACCGTAAATCTCTATCAATAAAGCAAAATCTATACTAATGCAAATTATTCATACCTATATCATATCCCCCTTTAAATGTAAAAGAACGTTTATAAACCATATTTGGG